TGAGCCCCCTCATGTGACAGAAGGCCGGAGGGCCGGCACTTGACCCACGACACAAACACATGAAGGCCATTCCAGTTTCAATTCCCCAAACTGATCTAAGTTTAAGTCTCACAAACACTGACTACTCCATGACTTTGTTAACCCGATTCTTTAGTTGGAAACCTGAGGATAAACCAGAGTCGATCAAAAGTAACATTTATTAGACACAGTTAAAGTAATCATCGCTGGGCTCTCTCTCTGGGTCTCAGTGGGCAAAGAGCCCTGAGATCTGGGTGATGGGCATTATCTCCTGGGCTCCATCCGCCTCCTCAAAGGAGGACTGGACACAACCAAGTCCTATTGGCCAGTTACCTCTGGGCATGAACAGGCCAGGTCCTAATTCATGCAGATGACAGGAATGTGGTAACAAATGGTGTGTGTGTGTGTGTGTGTTGACCTAAAGGTGTGTCTAATGCAACAGAGAGAGAAAAAGAGAGTCTGTAGACACAACCAGAGACTTTAACACAAAATATAGTTCTAAAAGGGATAAAACAATCAGTTATCTACACGGATTATGTGTTAGCATACAATGCTAAAGGGAGTAATCATAGCCTAATTCTAACAACTTCAAAAAGCTTTAAGTTTCCATTTTTTTCTCATTTTTGAATGAAGTTTTTTCTTTTTTTTTTGCCGTTGCTTCGGCATATGAGTCTTCAAAATGTCATGATATCTCTGCAAAACGCAGCTCCAGTCCAGCGATGTTTGTCTGTTTGTTTGTCTGATGCTTTTTCCTCTAAAGCGGAGCGTAATCCTGAGTGACGCGTCTTATCGGGCCGACATTTACCGTGCACTAGCCTCCACCCAGACCTCTGAGGCCGGGTTCCAGGCAGGAAAAGGCTTAGGAGTTGTGAGTTTATTCAGAGTGAGACGGCCTTTGAAGATTTGCATCCCGGTAAAGTGAAGTTAGCTTTTAGAATAAAGGTGATGTGAGTCTCCTCGAAGTCTTTATCAACTCTGACCACTTTTCATAGTGGAAACTATCAGACACTTATGCTGGAAATCTGGATCATAATGGTTTAATATTTTTAAACCAATCGTGTCTTTATTGTATCTTTCTGGAGACAGAAGATTTTTAAACCTGTGAATATACTTTTTAAACGCAAAGGTAAACCCACTGCCCCCATATTCTGGAACATCCGAAATACCGACTCTCTCTCTCTTTTCAAAACAAAACTCAAAACCCACCTGATTCAAATTTCTTGCCCACCTCACCTGTCACGTCTGGGGGAATGTCTGGTGTCTCGTCATGTCTTGATTACCTATTGTGTACACCTGGGGTTCCCCTCCCTCATGTGTTTAAATAGTCCTCGTTTCCCATGTCCTGTGCCAGTGTGTTTCGTCATTTTTCGTCTTTCTGTTTTCGTCACCTCTTGCCACGTAAGGTTTTGATTTTTGCACTTTGCCATAGTCTTGTTTTTGTGCCACAGCCATGTTTTTGTCATAGCCTTGTTTTGCCACAGTCTTGTTAACCTCGTTTTGCCATAGTCTTGTCTACTTTATTTAGGTACTTTTGCCATAGTCTTGTTAAATCTTGCTTAGATACTTTGTTCATAGTTTTGTCACAGCCTTGTTTTTGAACCATCTCTTCCATCCATTCCTTTTGAGTGTGTTTTTGTTCAAATAAAACCCTTGGAACTAACCCTCTCCGCACCTGAGTCCTCCCGAAGATCCGACCCCTGTGACATCACCACCCCAAGTCTAACATTCCCCTCACTTTGCACAGTTTAATTCATTCCATTTTTATTCATTTGTGATGTTTTTATTCATGATGTATTTATGACTTTGTATGTTTTCTTATGTTTCGATATTGTTTTAATGACGATCGTCTTTGTAAAGTGTCCTTGAGTGGCATTAATGTATTATCATATGAGGAAAAACTCCTCCTGTACATCAGTGTTTACCAACCCTGGCAGACCTGATTTAAACAGAAATGGCAGCTGCTCAGCTCTTCTCTTCCACAGAAAGCTGATAAAGACTCAAACTTTGTGAGTCCGAAGGGTTCCGGTTTGTGAGAGGAACCCACGGGGACTCAGGAATCTCACCACAGGATCTATCACCTCACCTACATTTCTCTATCAAACGTCCATCCCCCACAGAAACCATTGACCTGTTAATCATTTGAAACAGAGCTGCAATTGGTCAGCTTTGTTATCCAATCACAGGACTCCATTGTGTCCAAAACATGCTCCTAACAAGCCTCTGGCTGGACTCAGTCTGTGCAGCAATTGGAACGCATCAGCCTGACCATCATTCATGTCCGAACCCCCCTCCAAGTCAGGGAC